AGTGGGGACAAGCCAAGGGAAGGTAAGGACTATTGGGAAGCCGAGGACTGTAAAGGAAAGGAAGAGCCTTTGCCACACCCTGTCCCAGCCACTTTAGCGGGAGCTTCAGGGGAGGGCTTTGGGTGGGCCTCCTCATCCCACCTTCTTTATTTTTGACACTTCCCTTTCAGACAGCTGCACCTCTTGAAATTCTCCCATCAAGGTGCCTCCACCACTCCTCTGATGGAGAAACGGCCTGGGGCAGGGCTCAGAGTCCCAAATCCTGTTATCCTGCGTAAGCCAGGTGGCCTCACTGACCCTCAGTCTCCTCAGTAGTCAAACAGGGCTCCCATCCGCCATCTCAACTTTATGCTGAAAGCCAGGGACACACATCACAAGGACCCCACGGAGAATGAAGTCTGCCTTTCCCCTCATCTCAAGCAAACAGCCTCCCCCCAACCCTCAGTATCTGCCCAACCTCACTGACGTTTCCTTCTCCACAAGGGAACAGAGGATTCAGTCAACTATCTTCGCAACTGGAATTTTCAGAACATCCACTTCATCTCCCACAGGGTAGGGGGCGGTGTGAGAGACATGAGGCTCAGCAGACTAATCTCTGATATTTGTGCAGCACTTCAACCTTCTCAGATCCTGTTCCCGTTTCCTCTTTAATTTAATCCTGACGTTGTCCACCAAGACAGGCTGCCCTCAGGGGGAGCCTCTGACTTAGGCCCCCTAATTCAGGAAATTTTGCAGCTGTCACAGCTCCTTTTTCAGTACCAGGGGTATGGTGGCAGGAGAGCTGCTTTGGGGAGCACATTCCTTCCTACAGCTGCCGGATTTAGGACCAGTCCTGCCCCACAGCCCCCAGTCCTACCCCCTCCTATCGGTCAACACGCGTTCTTGTCAATCAACAGAAGAAACCTGCAACTCAGCAGGGCAAAAGAAGAGAGGGGATCAAGACAGAGCAGGATGAGGCCGTGGTGCTAACCCCACCCCCACCCCAGTACTTGTAGGGAGAGCGTGGGCAGAAGAACTTGAGAGAAAGTGAAAAAGTGAAAATGCTACAAGGGCAAGAGCATGGTGGACAGCACAGAGAGGCAGCTGGCTAGAGAAGGGACACTAAGGTGGGTTTGGGTGGGGGCAGAGTGGAGCCAGCGCCAACAAGACCCCAGGCTAAGGGCAGTGTGGCTGGCGGGCTCCAAGAGGCTGCATGAGGATTTGCACGTGCTTTACATACTGGTCTGGAGCCAGTTAGTCAACCGCTAAGGACGCCAAGGTCACAGAGAGGACCCCTCTTCCGCTAGACGGCCCTTCAAACATCTAACCGAGCTGGGATGAATGCTCAGCCAAAGATTGCCCCCAAATCTTGGCACAAGGAGCATTTATCTATTATAACCCACCCTGTACCTGAAAAGAATTAAGATGGCTCCCAAGGAATCATAAAATATAGCAAGAAACCACAAATTGGAAGTAGCAGTAGAACAAAGCAAGGCACGCAAAATGGAACCATTAAGAAGGCTGATACAAAAACAAACGACACGTATAATCCCTCACATGTGTGTAACTGGACCAGCTGCCCAATCCACAGTGTCCTTAAAATAAGAACAAGCCAACTGCTTGGGAGAAGTGAAATTATTTCTGCTACTGAGACACAACAAGAATTTCTTCTGAAGACCCTCATAAAGAGGACACAGTGTAATATAATGACCGTTGAGAACATCCTTAGAGCAGACATAACACATTTCACGTGAAGTTTATCCCTAACAGAGTTTCTTAAAATAGGGCAGGGGAGCAGGGGTCCAGCCCCACTCCCAGAGAAACAACTACCAATAAGACTTGATAGCATGCTTAGGAGGTATCATCCTGAAATTGACACTACCATCTCACAACTGTTGGCAGGAGGGTAAATTGGTACAATCTATTTAGAGGATAGTAAATAGGAGTCCTGGTGGCACAAAGATTAAGTGCTCGGCTACTAACCGAAAGGTTGGTGGTTCGAACCCACCCCATGGCTTCATGGGAGAAAGACCCGGCAATCTGCTTCCGAAAAGATCGCTGTTAGGTCCCATCAAGTAGATTACAACTCCTAGGCTGTAATCCTTATAGGAGAAGAACACCAGGTCTTTCTCCTGCAGAGCTGCCGGGTGGGTTTGAACCGCCAACCTTTTGGTTAGCAGCCAAGCACTTAACCATTGTGCCACCAGGGCTCCTTTCCGTAAAGATTATAGCCTAGAAAACCCTATGCAGCTCAGTTCTACTCTGTCACGTGGGGTCGCTATGAGCCGAAAATCAACTTGGGGGCAAACAACATCTACTAAAATAGGTTGTTGGGTGGTGCCAATGGTTTGCACTTGGCTACTAACCAAAGGTTAGTGATTCAAACCCATCCAGCAGCACCGTGGAAGAAAGAACTGACGATCTGCTTCCATAAAAATTTCAGCCAAGAAAACCCTATGAAGCTCAGTTCCACTGGGTACCGCAGAGGGTTGCCATGAGTCAAAACTGACTCGATGGCAACAGGTTTTGTTTTAGTTTTTTACCTTCTAAAATATATTCACAACAGCCATAAGTTGGAAACAACCTAAATGTCCATCGCCAGGTGAATGCATAAACAAAATGGGGTATATTCACAGTGGAATGCTACTCAACAATAAAAATGAACAAACCGCTGAAATATGCACAAACATCAATAAACCTCAAAGATATGATACTGAACAAAAGAAACCGCCAGACAAAAAGAGTATATACACTGTATGAGTCCATTTATATGAAGTTCTGAAACAGACAAAACTAATTTATGGTGATTATCAGAATGGCTTAAAACACTACTGATGAGGATAATGATGATAAGCTGACAGTACTGAGTGCTAGTGAGGATGCAGAGCAATTGGAATTCTCATACCTTGCTGACAGGAATGCAAAATAGCACAGAATACACACACAAACCCACTGCTGTCAAGTCAATTCCGACTCATAGCGACTCTACAGGAGAAAGTAGAACTACCCCATAGGGCTTCCAAGGCTGTAATTTTTCTCTTGCCACATCTTTCTCCCGCAGAGCAGCTGGAGAGTTCAAACCGCCAATCTTTTGGTTGGCAGCTGAGCGCTTTAACCACTGTGCCACCAGGGCACACACACGTAAATAAGTGCATGTGTAACTAGTAAAATCTTGCACCGGTATCAATTAACTGGCTTCGATACTGTACTACAGTTATGCAAGATGTTAACATTGGGTAGGCTGGGTGAAAAAGGTGCATGGGACCACCCTGTATACTTCTTTGCAACTCTCTGAGAATCTGATCTGTAATTATTCAAAATAAAAAGTTAAAAAATAAATAAATCACTCAAGGGGTAGTGACAAGACGGCAAGGAGCATAAAGGGGCTTCCGGAGCTTCGTGGGGAGCTGGTTACATGTTCAGTTTGTGAAAATTCATGGAGTTAAAAACACTTAAGATATGTACCCTTTTCTGAGTATATGTTATACACTACATCAGTAAAATGCTCTTTTTCATAGGTTTTGTTGAACGTTACGTTGATCATGTCACTCCTACCCCACCTCCTCGTCACAAAAAAATAAAATAAAATCCAGACTTCTCAGCATGCATTGAAGCTGCCTATGACCACATCCCCACATCTCTTTCTCCTCTGACGTCAGTGTCCGCACCGCCGGCAGAACACGCTAGGATCTTTCTGACCCACCAGGCCTGGCTCCCATTTTCCCCAATGGCCTAGACCAGCACTGTCCCATGTAAGAGCCACAAGCCACACACGGCTGCTGAGCCCTGAAACGTGTGAACCTCGTGCTACAAGTGCAATATACACCCTGGGTTTCTAAGATTCCACAGGAAAAACAGAATACGAAATATTTCTTTAGTAACTTTGCATAAAAGTAGCTGTGGTGGCACAATGGTTAAGCACTTGGCTGCTAACCGAAAAGGCTGGCAGTTAAAACCCACCCAGTCTCTTTGGGAGTAAGACCTGGCAATCTTCTCCTGGAGAGATTACAGTCTAAACTCGATAGACAGGAAGCTGGGGGGCTGGCAGTGAGTTTGTATCAACGAGGGAGGCCCAATTCGGAAAAGGAGGGTGAGAATGATTACACAACAGGAAGACTGTTATCAACGTCACTGAATTGTACTCACAGACACTGCTGAATTGGTGTACCTTCTGCTGTGTATGTTCTCAACAACAAAAAAAATACGGAAATAAAGACTCAAACAAAAACAGCCGCTGCCATCGAGTCAACTCCGACTCATAGCGACCCTATGGCCTCCGAAACCCTATGGGGCAGTTCCACTCTGGGGTCCCCACGAGTAGGAATTGACTCGAAGGCACCTAACGACAAGCCCAGGTACCCGGCTACCACCACCGACTGCTCTGACAGGGAATTACAATAGAGGGTCCCAGACAGAGGTGGAGAAAAACGTAAAACAAAATTCTAACTCACAAAAAAAGACCAAGCTTACTGAGAGAGACTGGAGAAACCCCGCGACTATGGCCCGCAGACACCCTTTTAGCTCAGTAATGAAGTCACTCCTGAGGTTCACCCTTCAGCCAACGACTACACAGGCCCATAAAACAAAACGAGACTAAAGGGGCACACCAGCCCAGGGGCAAGGACGAGAAGTCAGGAGGGGACAGGAAAGCTGGGGGAACCCAAGGTCGAGAAGGGAAAGTGTTGACATGTCATGGAGTTGGTAACCCATGTCACAAAACAACACGTGTACTAATTGTTTAATGAGAAGCTAGTTTGTTCTGTAAACTTTCATCTAAAGTACAATAATAAAAAAAAAAAAAGAACAACAAAAAAAGTCAAAAGCAACTTCTTCCCATGTCAAAATGATAATGATCTAGATACTCTGGGTTAAAATAAAACCTATTAAAATTCATTTCACCCATTTCTTTTTCCTATTTTTCACAGGGCTTCTAGAACATTCTAAGTTACATGTGTAGCTCACATGGGACTTCAACTGGACAGCCAGGCCGGCTCCACCACCACAGCTGCGCCCGCAGTTACCTGACCTCCGTGCAAGGGCAAGTAGCCGCCGGGCCTGGACCGTGAGGGACGCGGGAGCTGACCGCGTGACGGCGCCGTGAGAAACTGACGAGCGCCTCCGCGTGGGAAAGGTAGTGAGCGGCACGTTCGCCGCACGTTCACGGCGTCTGCGTGAGGGGCGTGCGTGAGAACGCGCGGGAGCGGGGGCGGCGCCAGACCAGCATGCTGGCGGGAGCGCGCTCCAGACGGCCTGAGGCGCCAAAGACCATGCGCGCTGAGAGGGTGGGGGGGGAAAAGCGGGGAGAATCCGGGAAGGGGCGGGGCCACGACCGCACCCCTGATTTCCGCCGCCTGCCGGTGAGAACGCAGACCAAGCGCGTCGCCGCAGGGCGTAGGAAGGGGATTTCCCTGGCTCCGCCCCCTAAACCCGGCCTCTGGCCTACGGAAACGGAGCAGTGCCGGGGGGACCGGAAGGGGGCGGGGCCTCCGCTCTTTCTGGGCCGGGCGTCTTGGACCCACAGCGCCCTCTGTTGGTTCTCCTAAGAGCTGCACGGAGCCCTTCGGGGTGCTGCCTCACCGGGCAGAGAAGGGGTAGCCTGTGCTGGCCTTAGGAGCCCTGGCGGTGCAGTGGTTAATCCTCGACTGCTAACTGAAACGTCTGTAGTTCAAACCCACCAGCCGCTCCGTGGGATAAAGACGTGGCAGTCGGCTTCTGTAAAGATTGCAGCCTTGGAAATCCTATGGGGCGGTTCTACCCTGTCCTATAGGGTTGCTATGAATCATCAACTTGACAGCAACGGGTTTGGTTTTCGGGTTCTGCTGGCCTTGGAAAGGGGCGTCCTCGCCGAGATCCTGGCTAAGCCCCTCCTCTCAAAGGCACATTTGACTTATTTAAATTAACCTAGGTACACTTAAAAAAGAATTTTACTGAATTACTTTTTTTTTTTTAATTCTTAAAAAAAAGGTACAGGTCTTGCCTGCCTTTCCACTCAATGAGCTTATATCCAAAGCCATCATGGGGTGGGATGTGAACTGGCTATTCCTCTCTGGCCTCAGTGACCATATACCTGCCATAGTGTGACCATGTGATTCAAAAATGTCACTCGCTCTTACAGATGTCAACACCAACAAACTGCTGCCACTGAGTCAGTTCCAACGCACGGCGACCCCATGTATTACAAGGTAGAACTGTTTCATAGGGTTTTCGTAGCTGCAATCCTTATGGAACATCGCCAGGCCCTTCTTCTGTGGCACCACTGGGTGGGTTCAAACCTCCAACCTTAGATAAACAGCACAGCACAAACCCTTTGCAGAGCTCAACTAGATAAAGCAGCGGGCTTCAATGCTAAAGGAAAAAAAAGCTGAGCTGGACGCATTGTAAAGTGGTGTCTGGCCATGGAGACTTCACAGATTTAAAAGACCACCCCATCTCCAATAAGACTCAATACCCTTGTGCCATTATTAACCCCAAGTTTCAGATAAGGAAACTGAGGCTTAGAGATAAAGTGTCTTGCCTGAGGTGGAACTGACCCGACAGGGCAGAATGACTTCAGGAACTGAGCTCTTAAACACCACACCATGAGGGCATGCTCCCTTCCCTTTTACAGATGAGACTAAGGTTCAAGGTTACACAAGTCAACGTGGCAAAGTCTAGGGATCAACAGGACCCTGAACACCGTTGTGTTCTTCCTGTGTTAAGAACCTGTGAATGGTTGTTCCTTCTTTTCTTGCCTACCACCAAAGAGAAGTTAGGAGTCACCGCCCGCACCCCAACACCATCGCCCATCTTTGCAGAATACCCAGTGATCCCAGGGAATCTGATGACCCTGATTCCCCATCCCAACATCACATATAAACTGGAAGGGTCACATCCAGTCTAGTGGGCCAGGCAACACCTCCTACACTAGCCCAGAAGGAGCCCTGGTGGTGCAGTGGTTATTCACTCGGCTGCTAACTGAAAGGTCAGCAGTTGAACCCACCAACCCTTCCACTTGAGAAAGATGCAGCAGTCTGCCTCCGTAAAGATTATAGCCTTGGAAACCCTATGGGGCAGTTCTACTCCATCCTATTGGGTCACTATGAGTCGGAATCCGCTCGACTGCAATGGGTTTTTTACTCTAGCCCAGGATTGCCAGGATGGAGCAAAGGGTTAAGCACTCAGCTACTAGATGTGGAGCACAGCTCTACTCTGACACACACGCAGTCACTATGCGTCCAAATCGACTCCACAGTAACTGGTTTTTTGTTTTTTAACTCTAGCCCACAAAGCCCTCCCCAGCTCTTCAGGACAGCAGGCACCCAGGAGACACAGAATCTAAAAAACAAAGTACAAACTTTATTTTGTTTCTTTACAAAGGCACAGTAGCCTCTTCGTTTTTTTTCCCCCACTTTCTTAACAAAATATAATAGCTTTTCCTTGAACACGAAGACCTCAGAATCGTTAAAAAAAAAAAAAAAGAAAGGAAAAACAACAACAAATAAAACAAAAAGAAAGACAAAGACATTTTGGGGTCAAAGATGGGGAACCTGTAGGGAGGGGAGGGGGCTGGGTGGTGGTGGCGAGTGGCTAACCCTAGTGCTGAAAGGGGATGGGGATGGGGGAGGAGGGCAGCAGCAAACCCCAAAACCGAGAAGCAACATCAACCCCAGGCCCCCAGAAAGCCCAGACCCAGCCAGACCCCCAACCCATGTAAGTGCTTAAAGGAAAAAGAAGAAAACCAGAGAGGAGGGAAGGGGGAACTGAAGACTGACAGTCACAGGCCTGGCTCTGGGGAGGGAAAAAAGAGCTTGGGGTTGTTTCATTTTCCCTGTTCTTAAAAACACGTTTAAATGAAAAAATGTTTTTTGGCGGCGAGAGGCCAGGCACCTCAGTGTCCGCGTCCCCAGCCTCCAGGGCCCAGCCCCAGTGTCCCGATGCTCCCCACACGCTCCAGGCTGTCCCAGCCCGTGACCTTGAGTTGGGTGGCTCCGTTCAAAGGTCAACTTACAGTATTGAAAAAGAGGTCATAAAAGAGACCCAAATGACATCGTAATTTTGTAAAAATTTCTCACTCATTCACCCACGTTTCTCCCTGCTGCTGCCCCGGGCCCCTCCAGCCCCCCAGAAGGGAGAGGAGGGCTGGGGGTGGTCAGGGAAGCTCCCCGTCCCCCAACGGCTCTTCCCGGCTCTGGTCCATGGTGTCACTGTCTGAGGCCTCCGAGTCGGAGGCTGTGTCAGAGGCGTGGGCCTCGGGGCAGCTGCGGACGGGCTTCACGATGACAGCTCGCCGCTGCTCCTCCTCCTGCTCCTGCTTCTCCTGGGTGCCCTCGATGTGCTGGATTGCCTGGGCGGGGACAGACTGCCGATGAGACCCCCGGGAAGTGTCCAAGAGAGAATGAGCCTGGTGAGGTAGCAGGGGAGGCCAGCCAGGGGTCCCTGGGAACAGCCTTTAGAAAACCCTTCTCTTGAGTTGAAAACCCCTCAGGGGAAAACAACAGCCTCAGTGTTGCTTTGAAGCGATGAGTGGTTTTAACATATTATATATTTTAAAGTCGGCCCGTTCACAGATTAGGAGTCTTTGTTATTAATTTTATTAGTCAGTTTGCTGGGTTTATGTGCAACTAAAGTTCCAAGGGTTGAAAAGTTGTCGTCCCCCCCCAGTTCTGGCCTGTTTATTAATAAATGAATATATTCCATGTTCTTGGGTCCTTCCAGGGGTCTAGCCCAAGGCTGAGCACAGAACTAGATTCAGGTTTGACCAGAGAAGGGTTAATCCTGCTTCTCCCTCCTCCGTACGAGGCTTAACTGACACCCACCAGGGTCCAGGGAGATGGAGGTGATAGAAAGTTCTGGACCAGTGCAAGAGCCAGACACCCAAACTCTGAAAGCCAGGCTCTGAGAGCAAAGGGTCTTCTCGGCTGGAGTCATGGGCTGCATGAACCCCAGAAACTACTGCCCTGAGATCATCTTTAAACCTGAAACCAAAAATATCCCCTGAAGTCTTTTTCAAACCATAGTTTAGCTTAACCAGTAAAAAATGTCTGCCTGGAGCATTATGCTCTTTTAAGATCTATCTATATGGGATCAGATTGACAATCACCACTAGAAAGATCAGAGAGGAACCTTAGGGGGCTGTGAGTTTACATTAACGGGGGAGAACAGCTCGGGAAAGGAGGTTGAGAACGCTGCACAGCTTGAAGGGTGGGATCAGTGTAACCGAATTCACACACAGAAACTTGAACTGGTGTATGTTTTGCTGTGTATATTCTCAACAACGGTGACAACAAAATAATTAAAGTTAAAAACAAAAAAAGATAATAAATATATCTGGCACTACCAAAAAAACAAAAAGGGTCTTCTCAGCAAAACCCACATGGGGGTGAAGGAACAGGGGCTTCCAGGCCACCTCATCCCAAGGCCTGGCAGACCCACCCTAGCTCTCTCAGTGGAGCAGCCGCCCGCCTCACAGGTACAGCGATGGGGGCTCGGGGACGAGCACCCACCCAGGCCCCCAGGGCTCCCATCACAGTCAGGCCCCGTCTGGCTCCCCCGTAAGCTGCCCCTGCCTGAAGCCCAGGTACCTGCACGATGGTGTCCAGATTTTGCCGGGATGTGGAAACAGAGTTGATGACCGAGGAGGGGCCCATGGTGACGACGTTGATGTGGTGGGAGGGAGGGGGAGGTGGTGCTGGAACAATCACTGTGGGATGGTGGGTGGGGGCTGGAGGGGGCAGGAGCTACAAGACAGAGAGAGGCCTTCAGTCTCTCTCCAGGGGTTCCCTTCTGAGCTCCCATCCCTGCCTACCTGTCGGTGGGTCACAGAGGACGAGGAACAGCCCTCTAAAACCATCTTCCCCTACCCACTGTCCCCCTGCAGCCTCCACCCACCACTCACGGAGGGCCAGCCAGTTTACAGCCCCCACCCCCTCTCTTTTAAGAAATGAAGAAAAGGAGGCCTCGAGAGGGGCTTTCAGCCAGCCAGGGTTACGTGGCCCCTTCGAGCTGGAGCATCCGCAGGTAGCTCACCATTGACACAGCGCTGGCTGGGAGTTTAGACTCCAGACTTCAACAGCCAGGGTGCATGTCCCTGCTCCAAACCACTTTACAAGCTAAAGGCCCTTGGGCCTGTTAATTCGATTATGCCTCAATTTCCTCATTTGTAAAACAGGAGTAATAAACCAGCTGGAATCCAGGAACTGCTCGAGAAAAGTCTGGAATATTACAGTTTAAGCTTTGTGTCGGCCCAGCTGGACATTCAGAGGCACAGTGATGAGTCTGAGCACCCCCGCGGCCAGTGGGACCCAGATGCTGCCTGCAGCCGACAGGGCCCCTCGCAGGTGCTGCCCGGCTCACCTGGGTGCGCAGGTGCTGCTGTTCCCGCTCCAGCTTCTCCTGGTGCAGCAGCCGCACCTGCTCCTGTTGCTGCTGCAGCTGCACCTGCTGCGCGATCACCTTGAGCTTTTCCGGGTACATGTGGGCCTCCAGCGAGCGCACCTGGGGGCAGAGCAGCCAGCTCAGGGCAGGGCCGGGCCCACACCCTGGTGCCTACACCCCAATGCCGAGGCCTATCTGTGGAGCCTCCTAACTCCGGAGCAGTCCACAGGTCCCAAACAGGCCGCCCCAAACTCTATCCATCACAAAGCAGACCGTTCACCCTGCCAAAGGCCCTATCACGGAGCCCACTGCCCACAGCCCTGCTGCATCTCCTCCTCCGCCACGGCTGCATCACCCCATGCTCCCTCGCTCCCGCCTCAAGGCTTTGTCCGTACTGTCCCCTCTGCCTGGAACATCCTCAGTCTCCTCCCAATCTCAAGTCAAGTCACCTCTGCGGGGAGCCTCACTGGGCCCCTCTGGAGCCAGGACAAAGCCCCCTAAGGATGCGCACCCACGAAGGGGCTGTAGTCTTAATCACAGCTGCGTTTTTACACTGCTGGGTGACATCCGGGGACAAATGTGTCTGCACTCCTCCCCTCCAAGACTGAACCCCTAGAGGTTGGAGACCTGTCTGGTGTCCCCCCGACCAGATACCCCACTTCTAGACCTGGCACAAAGTTGTTGTTGGGTGCCATCTCAAGGCAACCCCATGTGACAGAGTAGAACTGCCCCAGAGGGTCTTCTAGGCTGTAATCTTTATGGGGAGGAGCACAGGTGGCAAGTGGTTAAGTACTCAGTTGCTAACCGAAAGGTCACTGGTTCAAATCCACTGGGAGAAAGATGTGGCAGTCTGCTTCTGTAAAGATTACGGCCTTGGAAACCCTGCTCCATCCTACAGGGTCATTACGAGTTGGAATTGACTCGACGGCAAGGGGTTTGATTTTTTTTGTAATCTTTATGGGAGCAGATCACCAGGTCTTTTCTCCTGCAGAGCCAACCTTTCAGTTAGCAGCCGAGCCCTTAACCCAGTATGCCACCAGTGCTCCTTGCATTAAGCAGGTGCTCTTGTGAATAAGTGTCCAAGGGAAGGCAGGAAGGGAGAAAAAGAAGGCCGAGAAGCAGGCTGGAATCCCAGCCCCGCCGCACACCCCTAGTGCCGGCCAGCAGGGGGCGCCACCTCACCTGCTCCTCCAGCATCATCCGCACAGAGCGCTCCTTGTCCAGCTGCTGCCGCAGTTCGATCATCTCCCGCCGCAGGTCCTCGGCCTTCTCGTCCTCCCAGATGTCCGGTGAGCCGATGCCCTCATCCTTATCCTCCGCCCGCCGCCGCTTGGGGGACGAGCCGCTCAGCTCCTACGGACCCCAAGGGGCCAGTGAGTGTGACCTGGCACCCCACCACCACTGGGGAGGTCTGGGGGCTCCATCACAGCCTCCAAAGCTGTCAGAACACAGGCGGACCCAGCACGAAGGAGCCCCACTCCGCAAATCCAACCAACTGGCCAAGTGTCAGAAAGGAAGGCTGACTGACTTGCTTTCCACACAGTCACCCCCTCTACTGGGCTGAATAAGCCCGTAAACCAGCTGCTGTGGAGTCCATTCCAACTCATGGACCCTGTATGTGAGAGAACTCTCCTCCATAGGGTTTGCAATGGCTGATTTTCCTGTAGACTGCCAGGCCTTTCTTCCAAGGCACCTCTGGGTGAATTCAAACTGCTGACCTTTTGGTTAACAGCTGAGCACATTAACCGTATGCGACACCCGGGGACTCCACTTGGTTGAATGTGTCTCTCAAAAATGAATCTCCACCCAAAACCTCAAAATGTGAGCTGATTTGGAAATAGGGGTTTTTGCAGATAAAATTAGTTAAGATGAAATCATACTGGAGTAGGTGGGACCCTAATCCAATGATTGATATCCTTGTAAGAGAAGACACAGAGAAACACACACAGGGAAGAAGGCCACGTGAAAACAGAGGTAGAGGTTGGAGCAATGTGTCTGCAAGCCAAGGAAGGCTGGGCCACAAAAAGCTAGGAGGCAAGGAAGGCTTCTTCCCTAGGGCCTTGATTTCAGACCTCCGGCCTCCAGAACTGTGAGAATAAATTTCTGTTGGTTTAAGCCCCCTAGTTTGTGTTGTTTTGTCATGGCAGCCACAGGAGACTCAGACACTCCAGCTCTTTCCAGAGCCCACTCCATCACACTTGGCATATGGGTAAACTAAGGCCCAGGTAGAAAGGCAAGTGCCGGAAGCAGGTGGGTCAATGGCGAAAGGTGGGACCTGCAGGAATATCGGAGTCCCAGGCCAGTGCCTGGGCTCTGGGCATGTCCGTGCTGGGGAGGAGAAAGGGCCGGGCAGGTGATGGGGGTGGCCTCCCCCGGGGCAGTACCTGGATGAAGCGCTTGAGCTGTGTGTTCTGCTGCAGGAGCCTGGTCTTCTCCTGCTCCAGCGAGAAGATGTACTCGGCTGTCTGCTGGAGAATGGCAGCCTGAGGGCGGGAGGGGCCACAAGTCAGGGACTCAGCTGGTGGCTTCTAGAGCTGCCGCCTTCAGGAAGCCCTCCAGACCCTCCCTGCCTTGCCCACCTTGCTGAGCTTCTCTCCATCTGTGTGGGGGATGAGGGTCTTGAGGGACTGGAAGCCGGCGTTGATGCTCTGCATGCGCCGCCGCTCGTTGCTGTTAGCAATCTCCCGCCGGATCCGCCGCTCCTGGTCCCGCTGGGTCTCAGGGGTCAGTGGAATGTTGGCCAGGCTGCAGAACAGGGGCACACTGAGGACAGGAGCCCTCTGGGCCCTGCCCCCAACAGGCCCCTGTCTTTTAATTCACCCCCAGAGGGCCCCAAGTGTCACCTGCCTCCCTTCCACTGCAGAAGACACCAGGATAGCCTGATACCTACAACACCATGGGACCAGGAGGGTGGTGGAGACATGGCTCTGGAGGGCCCCAGCAGAATGAATCAGAACTCAGCCCTTCCCTGCTGCCTTCATGGGGAGAGGACCGCCCTCTGGAACAGGGTGTCAAAGCACCTGGGAGTTTATAAGCCACAGAGCCTGGGTCCCAAACCTGGCCAGCATCTGGCTAGCAGGCCTGGGTAGGACCTAGAAACCTGCATGGTTAACAAGTAACTAATTCTGAAGCTGGTGGGTCCCAGGCGACAATCGAGACACCTGGGACACAGCTACCATTTCTGAACGTTTTGATCAAAGCACCTATAGAAGAATCTTAATCAAAAGGGGGGGGGGAATGCGGAACAGAATTTTAAATTCTCATAGAATCCAGACTTTCTGGAGCCATTGAGGCTGGATAAACCCCTGAAATTATTGCCCTGCGATAACCTTTAAATCTTAAACCAAAAATACCCCCTGACGTCATCTTAAAACCAGATAATAGTTTAGCTTAACTGGTAAAGAATGTCTGATCTACAGGGGATCAAACTGATAACAACAACTTGAAAGATTATACAAGAAAACTTAGGGGGCAGTGAGTTTATATTAACGGGGAGAACAATTCAGAAAGGGAGGGTGAGAATGGCTACAATCTGAAGAACGCAATCAATGTCACTGAATGTACATGAAAAAATAAGTGAACTGGCGTATGTTCTGCTGTGTATAGTCTCAACAACAAAATACAGTAAAGACGCCTGGGACATCTCTGCGCTCCTTGCCCTGCACTTGGGACACCTCCTCACAGAGGCTCAGGCTTTGCCCCTCTGCCTTTCCCATCCCCATGACTGAGTCTCAAGCCATAAGCCCCTACCCAAGCCCCCACGCCGGCCCCAACTATCCTGGGCTAAGACTCCAAAGAAGACAAGAAACACTCACTCTGCCAAGGGGCCACCAGGGGACAGTTCTCTACCCCCCGCCCCACCCCAAGTCCACCCATCCCAAGAGGCAGACCCACTCTGTGCCCAAGAAGCGAGGCTCCCAGCATGCTGCGGACAATTAAAGGCCGCAGGAGCCGTGGCCAGCAGAGTGAGCAAGAAGGCAGCCAGAGGAAGGGATGAGGCTGCCGGCCAGCCGAGAGGAGCCTGAGGGCCCAAGACCACCGCTCCCGAGGGGTGGGCCTGTGTGTGGCCTGGAAGAGGCATGCCCCTCTTCCCGGTCCTCCTGCACTCCACCCCCTCCTGGGCCTGATGGCTTCCAGATGCTGGGCTCCCACAAGAGGCCGCCAGCCCCACCCAAAGCCACAGCCCCAGCCTCTTCCTGAGGGGCCCTCCTGGGGTGACCTGCTCCAGGCCTGGGCCAAGGGAGCCCATGCCCCTGGGCCTGGAGGAATGGGGGAAGAGACTCTGGGCAGCTCTAGTTCTCCCGGGGGAGTCCGAGGGCAAGGAGGTGCCCGGCCCAATTCCCTAGCTGTGCCCAGGCCTCTGTGCCCGTCCCCAAGCAGAAAAGCATTTGCACTGAACCCAGGAGAACACATCTGCAACAGCTGGACACAGCCAAGGCCTTCCTGCCCCATCCGTCCCACCTCCCTGTGGGACCCTGGACTCATCCTGCCTCTTCCTGGGCCCTGGCCTCCTCTGCCAACAGACAACAGCGTGGCTGGATTGGGGGGGGCTCCATATCAGACAAAGCCCCACACCGATGCTGGGGGTCCAGAGACAAGTCAGCCTCCTTTCCCCATCCAAGACCCAAAACCTGGGGCCCCAGCCCACCCCAAGGCCTCCCTGCCACAGACTGCTGGTCCAGAATGGGGTCTTGGAATATCAGAGGGCCCACCAGCCTCACTTTAGAGTAGTGGGAAGGGACATGGTTTAGGGTCAGAAAGCCAGTGTCTGGCTCCCCCACTCTGGACCAGGGCACCCCAGTTCTCCCAGTTTCCCTGCCTTACCCTGTGGGTGGCAAGGGTCGGGGGAAGGATCAAAGGAGAGGGTGGGTCAAAGCCAGGGGTCTTTGGGGTCAAGAGGAGGTGGGAGAGATGTCCATAGGAAGCCAAGCCCCACCCCCCCCCGCCCACCCCTGGGGAGTTGAGATCTGTGTCTGGGAGCATCCGCTTCCCCCTGAGCTCACTCAGCCCCTGGGTCCCTCTCAGAGGCCACAGCTGAACAGAATAGATCAAAAAGGAGCCCCGCCATGTCTACCCTTGGACCACCCTGAGTGCTGCACCTTCCAGAAAACCCATCTGGAGGGCCTAGCAATAGGGTAATAAGAAAAAAAAATCCTTGAGCTCTTATATGTGCTAGGGACTTGCTTTGCTAGAACTTTCTCAGTGAATTGCCACAGTCTTTCTATGAGGCAAGTCACCTTATAATCCCTACGTAAGGACTGGGACACAGAGGCTTGGAAAGGCAACAGCTGCAGCAAGTGGTGGAGCTGGGACTTGAACCCTGGCCCCAGAGCCCCACTGTGACCCAGATGGGTCTCAGGCTACAGGGCAGAGTGGGCTCTGTACCATGCCACACAGCTGGACACCCCAAGAGACAGGGCTGGACACCCCAACAGTCAGGTAACCTGTGTTCTCCTGGTGGGGAAATCTACAGGTAAGGAGGTACCTGGACCAACTTCCTGGCCATGCCCAGGATCCTGTGCCCATCCCCGGGCAGAAAGGTGTTTGCACTGAACCCAGGGGAGGAACACATCTGCAACAGCTGGATACAGGGAACAGTTACGCTTTGACGGACAAGGCCGGGCACGCGTAGGCGCTGTAATCACGTTAGCTCTATTGTTACTCACCAAACACTTCTACCTTTTCTCCTCATCTACATCGTCTTCCCGTTTTACCTAAGGGGTAAAATGACATGCCCAAGGCCAGGCAGCTAGACCCTGGGGTACCCCAAACAGCTCACGCTCCCCCCGTCCCACCAGCTAATGGCACCCTCCCTTGTGGGCTCACTACCAGAGCCAACTCTTGCTGTCAGCTGCCGTCGAGTCAGCCCCCAACTCATGGTGACCCCGTGCGCAAAGGAACAAAACGCTGCCCACTCCCCATAATCGGTTGTGGATTGGAATACTGTAATCCATAGGGGTTTCACTGGCTGATTTTCTTAAGTAGATTGCCAGCCCTTTCTTTCTAGTCCCTCTTAGTCTGGAAGCTCCATACCATCATAGCAACACACAAGCCTCAATCAAGACATAGGTGGTGTCTACACATGAAGTGCATTGGCCAGAATCAAACCTCAGTCACCTGCATGGAAGATGAGAATTCTACCACTGAACCGCTATTGCCCTCTAGCCAACTCTTCAAACCCAAACCAAACCCATTGCTGTCGAGTTGATTCCAACTCATAGTGACCCTATACGACAGAGTAGAACTGCCCCATAGGGTTTCCAGGGCTGTACTCTTTACAGAGGTAGACTACTATTACATCTTTCTCCCGCTAAGTGGCTGTGGGTTCAAACCAATGACCTTTGGGTGAGCAGCTGAACGCTTAACCACTGCGCCACCAGGGCTCCTTAGCCAACTCTTACTCAAAGACAAATGTGAACACTGAGGCCCAGAGAAGTGAAAGGGCTTGCCAGGGGTGCAGCTGCAATTTACCCCTCCTACACTGCCCAGCCCCACTGCCTCTGAGCCCGAGTTCCACCCACCTCAGTCCAAACCAGAGCTCAGGGTGCCTGCCCTCCCAACAAGCCAGCTCATCCACCCATTAAACGTCAGCCCTGGAGCTGACTGACCCTTGTCCTCCCTCCTCCCTACCCAGAAGGCCCATTAAGTGGAGAGACCAAAGGAGACACGGGACCACAGGTCTAAAAGTCTCAGGCCCAAAGGTCCCCAAAGGAAAGTTCCCATGCCCAGGCAGGGAACAGCGGCCTCTGTGGGCTCCTCCTCCGCATTGTAAGCCCACAGACTCACTTCTCCAATGTTCCATGATGCTCCTTTCCATCCTGCCCCCTTCCCCTCCAAACCTCTCAACACAGCCTCCTGGCTCCCCCAAGGAACCAGCCGCTGTTAACCTAGGCAGATCTTAAATCCAAGAAAACAAGCTGCACTCCAAAATTAGTTTCTCATGGGGAATTGGGGTCACCACCAGGATTCTTAATTATAACTCATCTTACTAGCGCTAGAAGCACCAGCTGAATTTAACAGACTGTGGCATAACTAGAGGTTCTGATTGGTGAAATGCAGATTAAACAGGGCTCTGGTTGGTGGAAGGCTGACTAACCAGAGACTCTGATTGGTGGAGGAATGCAGACCAAACGGGGGTTCTGATTGGTGGAATACTGTCTACCCAAGAATTCTTATTGGTGCAATACTGACCAACCCGGTCTCCTATTGATGAATGTTGGCTAATTGGAATTTCAAGGTGATACTGCTCTTATAAAGTAGATTTTTCTGCAGATAGCCTGGAAGTTTCTTTCCGAGTTTTGCTGTTAGTCACCACAATGTAAAAGTCCAACGCCCCCTCCACAGGTACGTCAGACTCCCCCAGGTGAGCAGTGAAGGTGGCCTGTATCCACTGACACAGCGTCTCTTGCTTCCCTCCCTCTCTGACTGCCTTCTAACAGACTCCTGCACGCTGGTCAGGGGCTGCCCCTGGAATAAGGCACTGGGAATTTGGCACTGGGAAGCCATAGCCAAAGGAACAAAGTCTGGGTACCGGCCTCGGATGTCAAGACCAGAGACACCACGACCAGAATAGCCCCCAGAGCCCCCTGGGGACACCAGGTGTCCCAACCAGAGGTACCGGGCCCCTGACCAGTAGCCCTCCCTCCTGCCCAACTCCAGCCTCCAACTGGCAACTGAGAACGAGTGCCTTCTTTCACACGGCTGGAAGTCACTCACATCCCCCAGAGCCACTGGCCATCCACACAGGTAAGGTGGGAAAGTGCACAGGAATTTCCCCATGCCCAATAAGGAGGACTGGAGGGAGGACAGAGACCCTCTCACCAAGGGTGCCAACGCCCTCATGCTACTCTCTCCAAAACACAGTCCAAGACCCTCCCCCATCCCCCACTGCTTCCCTCCATACACCCCACTCCAGCCATGGACAGCCCGCTGCCTCTCCCCTTGCCCATACACCACGCCCATCAGCTGTTCCCTCTCCCCTCCCTGCGACTTCTCCAGCCCATCAGAGGGGACCCCGCACCAGGTTCAAGTTCAAACTCCAGCCCTGCCGCTTACCAGGTGTGGAATCACTTAGTCTCCTGAAGCCTCAGTTTCCCCATCTGTACATGCTGTAAATACGGCCTCACTTCACAAAGTTGTGGGGAAGTTTAAAAGCGATGGAGGCTAACAAGGTGCTCTGTCCTTGCAGGGTTTGCACTCCGGTCTCCAGGAGATCCCACAGATCTCTCCCAGGGAGCTGACAACACTCTTTAGCACCCCGAGACTGTGAGCTGCTGAGGGCAAGGGGCAAGATCTGGTTTGCGGCTGTATCCTCAGTTCTAGCACAAAGAAGGCGATCCTTTGTAAATACCGGATGAAAGACACACACACACTCCAACGCCCTTAACTATTTTCTAACTGTGGGAGTCTCTGGGTGGTGCAGATGGTTAACACAAGGCTGGAAGTTCGAGTCCACCCAGAGGCACCTTGGAAGAAAGGCCTGGCAATCTACTTCCAAAGAATCAGCCATTGAAACTCTATGGAGTACAGTTCTACTCCAACACACGTGGGGTCGCCATTAGTCAGAATTGACTCAAAGGCAAATGGTAACTCCTTATGGGCACTTGGTCTCTTCCCCCCCCCCAGAGGGCAGTAGAGCTTACAAGGATAGAGGCCACCATGCTCCACTTTTAGGAGGCTAACTGGCATTTTAACAGCCACCAGCGCTCTCCACATGTGAACAATAGCCGTGCACCAGGCACCGTGCAGGCCATTTTGCAGACATCACGGCATTTAAGCCCCACACACCTGTGTTATGCAGTCTCTCCTATTATGATCCTACATCTTACACAGCGACAGCTTGTTCACAGCCCAGCAAGATCCGAGTAGGGCCTGCCTCCAGAGCCCTCACTCCATCCACCGAGCACACCATCGCATGCTAGTAGCTCATCTTCACAGGGGCTCAGTTTTACCGAGGCCAAGAGCGGTTCGGCAACAGGTCCAAACCACACAGCGTGCCATCCAGCCCCCTCTAGTAGGTGAGGGAGGCGGAGGAGGGAGACGAGAATCGTGTTCATCATTGAGGGATGGAGCAAAGTCCACCGCCGCGAGATGGCCAGAGACAAGAGGAGGGAGTCCATCCCAGCCAGATGGTCCTGCCCACTCCACACACTCCATCCTGGACAGGCCCTTTCTGAAAATGAGCAAACCCAGAGGCTCCAACCCCACAACCAGTGCACCAGGTGACAGTGGTCTCAAAACCAGGCACCTGAGGACCGTCCCATGGCCAACCCTGAAGGGAGGTCCTTCGTAGCAGCCAGGGGGCTTGGAGCAGGGACAGAGTGAGGCCAGGGTCCTGGCAGCCCACAGAGAACTCAGCCAGGGCCCCAGCTAAGCAGTCGAGGGGCTCCATTGCCCTAATCTTTTCCAAGGTTAGGGCTAGAATGTCCTCCCCAGGTCAATCCCACCTCGCCTCTGCCCAGTCCTCCTCCAAGCAACCAGTGGCTACACAGCCCCTGATGTGGCAGCACAGCTGAGTCAGAGCAGGGCTCTGGGGCCAGGGTTCAAGTCCCAGCTCTACCACTTGCTGCAAATGTTCCCCTTCCAAGCCTCTGTGTCCCCATCCTTACATAGGAATCATTAAGGCAACTTAACCCATAGGAAGACTGTGGCAATTCACTGAGAAAATTCTAGCAAAGCAAGTCCTTAGCACATATAAGAGCTTAAGGATTTTTTTCACTTATCCTATCGATAGGCCTTCCAGGTGGGTTTTCTGGAAGGTTCAGCAAACACCGTGCCGCCTTACCAACTAACTGGCCCATCCACCCCTAGGTATTGACTCTGAACTAGAGTAAACTAAGGTACAAGCCTTAGGGGGAAGGGTGAATACGTGTGCAAGCGAGGTTACCCACCGACACCTGGTTCCTGCAGGCCCTGGTGTCCACCAGCCTGGGCTACACGGTTCTGGGCTCCTCCCCCCTTAATCCCCGCCCGCCTGCACCGGGCGGTGGAGCACGTGGCCCCAACCATGGGGAGCCATTTCGTTCCCGGAGCAGCGGGGCAGAAAAGGGGCCACAAGTCCCAAACTTCTGCACGCTGGAGGATCCCTCCACACCCGGGTCGTGCTAAATATGCAGATGCCTGGGCCCTTCTCCTCGAGATCCAAGATCTGGGTATCTGCATTTTAAGTGTCTCAGGTGACTTGGCTGCGGGTAGTCAGCGAGTCCACCACGGTTTGGGAGACGGCAGATCTGGAGCCAGCTTGGAGAATGACTTCTGGGGAGGACCGCAGGGCTGTGGGTTCCGTCCACCCACCCGGCTTAGAGACCAGACGCCTCCGGCTTACGGCTGGGGCGTGCGATCGGAAGTTTGCGACGGAGACACGTGCGGCGGGAAGCGGCCTGGGAGCCTGGGGTCGGCCCCAGCTGCCCCCCTCCCCAAGAAGCCTCCCCTCCGGGCCTCCCTTCCCCATCTAGCCCGTCCGGGCCGAGCTTTGTGCCGGGAAAGCGTGGTCCGGGGGCGCCTACAACTCCCACAATCCCGCACCAGCGGGGCTCGGAGAACTACAGCTCCCGCGAGGACCCGCGCGCGGAGGTCCGCCTACTCCTAGAGGGCTGCAGAGTCACGTCCAGGCCTCGCTAGTAAACAGCACTAGGACGCGGGCGGGCGAGCG